ATTATCTGTTACCTAAATAATATTGTTTATTAAATAAAAGAAAAAAGAACATCAACTGTATAATAACTAAAATTTTCAATAACTTCAATCTTCAATAAATAAAAATAACTGCACACGCAAATATTTTTCTATAAGAGCCTAATTTAAACTTCTTTTATTAAATAATTATGCCCATACTGGCCAAATTGTTTCTTACGGTTTTGAAGAACAGAGATTTTACTTTCATTTAAAGTATTTATTGGGGGGTACTTCACCGTGGCCGATCTAAGCAACATACGACTTTCAGGTTTTATTTTTCTGCGTTAGTTTGCCGTGGTGTCAAAGTGATATAGGCAGTGATAAATAAACTAAATATTCCAAATTGTAGAATATTAGTAATTTAATTAGTTCATTGGTATTAGTTATTTATCAACTATGTATGATGTTATATCGCTAACCAATGAAGAAATGTGTACTGAATACAGATGGAAATATACTTGTGTATGGCAAGAATAGATATTATTCTCCATGCAGATGCACATAGTTTCAACAATGGTGTGCAGGCAACAGTGTATTGCTCATTTTTGTATAATTTGCTGTGAATACTGGATCAGTGAAATGTATATCTGTTAGTTTCATTTGTCAAAGTAAGAAAATATTGCTGCTCCTGACTACCAAAATAAATGCAGGTATTCATGGCAGGAGCTTTGTTTGAATCCATTGAATTGGACATTTTCAACTAATAACAAGGGTTATTGTAGCACAGAAAATGCAATATTACGTAATTGTTTCCAATAACGTGAGAAAGTATGTGCTGTCCCCAGTTTTTTTTTTTCACTTTGTGCCAGTGAATGAAGGAGATAAACAAATCATCTAGTTTTTGAGTTTTCTAAACTGCCACAACACCAAATTTGGAGCCTTTTGGAGAAAATGACATTTAAGCATTTCTGAAAATGCAGAATTTAGAGCTAATTTTCACCGAAAATGTTTTACTTTTCAAAAAACGGTGTAGGACATAATTTAAAACACATGTACTCATAAATACAATGAAGAGAATCTTTTTGTGTGTTTCTTCCTCTTTAATTTTTTAAAATTGCAAATATTGCACGAAAACTACTAAAATTTTCAAAAAAATGTTCATGACCTTCATGAATAAACAATTAATAAGAAATACATTTTCTTGAAAGAAAAATAGTATGTTCAGTTTTATAGCTGTAAGAAGTCACCGAAAAAAATTCAAACTTTTGCAATTATCAAAAATTAAGAGTTCTCAGTGAAAATCGGATTGATGTTATATAAACTGTATTGTTCACCATTTTTACAAGAACTTTTGAGAAAAAATTTGGAGCCATATTTGAGAAAATTTTCAAAGGACTTTATGTAAAGTACCCCCAAAAATTAATGATTTTCAAACTCGCAGAGCTTTGACTCAGGCCAGATAGAGAGGGTATTCTTTCATTTGAAAAAAATCCTACGTATGGTTTAGGTGCTAGTGTTGTTCACGCACACCAGTTGAATGGACATTTTGAAAGATAAAAAGAGAGGAAGAAAAAGAAAACAACACTTTTTAGTCATCAGGGGACCACAAAACGTGTATTTCTGTTTTGCGTGAGACCTGGCTTCCTTTCTCTTAGATATCTGGGAAAGCCTGGAACTCTTTTCCTTTTTATACATTATATCTGGATGAATATCTCTTGTCACAATACAATCTTGTCCATCAGTTCATTATAGCTTAATTCTTTGGGTAGAATATCCTCTTTCTTCTTCCTAGTAACTTTTCTTCTTCCCACCTAAACCATCTTCTCTACTAGAGCTTCTTTAATCTCCTCCTAGCACCATTTAGTAATCTCTCTTCACCTCCCTTCTGCAATACCTCCTCTATTGTTTATTATGGTTAATTGTTGAAATAAAACTAGCATGTTTCCAATTGCAGGTTGGTATGGAAATAGAAGTGAGACCTGGCTTGGTTTCAAAAGATAGTGAAGGAAAACTCACGTGTCGGCCTATATTCTCACGAATAGTATCCCTATTTGCTGAACAAAATGAACTTCAGTTTGCAGTGCCTGGAGGGTTGATAGGTAAGAACAAAATATCATCACTTCTTTAATAAACTTCAATTTATTTAATTTATTTACTAGCCGCTGCTCGCAGTATTGTTGGTTTTTATTTATGACTCTATTAAACAGCAAACTATTCTTAGTATAGCATGAAAGAACTTTTATTTTCATCTTCAATACCCTGCAATGCACCAATATATGATCCATCTTGCCCGTCTGTGAAGCTCTGTCTTCCCTACCCCTCCCATCAAAACCATTCTTTAATTTCGATCATGAATTATTATTGAAACTACACTATTGCAATACATCAAATTTAGCAGGACATGCCTGTGCTTTTAGAATATCTGGATCCATCTGTACCCAATTTTTTCAAGCTTTCGAGATATGCAAGAACAACTGAAAATTCTATTTTAACCCTTTTGGTCTCAGCTTTTTCTACCATTGCCCAAGCCTTCCCCTCTGATTTAAATGCCTTGGCCTACCATTTAACACAAAAATAACCGAACTGACATTGTGCTGCTTTTTGTGGACGTATTAGACTCTCTTCCCGCTATATGGGGTTAACAGAGACCATGAAACAATTGTCTAGAAACCATCAGTTGGTATGTGATCGTTAATACATTGATGTTTAAAACATTGATATCTCATCCCTAGCTGGGAAATGGGTGGGGCAAATCTGAAAAGTTTGTCCATACTAAACGGATAAAAAGCTAACAAGTACAAGAAAGTCTGTGCCATTCTCGATCACTGCTAGTTACATAGTTATTAGTCATTTGTCTTTAATTTGTGTGTTACATAAAGTATGCTTTTCTCTACACAGGTGTTGGAACTAAGATTGAGCCGACCTTGTGTAGAGCAGATCGTTTGGTTGGACAAGTTCTTGGTGCTGTGGAAGCTCTTCCAAATATATTTATTGAACTGGAAATTTCGTATTACTTGTTGAAACGTCTTCTGGGTGTAAGAACTGAAGGTGATAAGAAGGGTGCTAAGGTAATGGAACATATGGATCACAAGATTACTGTTTAATTCAATTTTTTTTATTACATTGTATTTTATCATTTCTGATTGTTTTAGGTTCAAAAACTCTCCAAGAATGAAATGTTACTTGTGAATATTGGATCACTATCCACTGGAGGTAGAGTTGTGGCTACACGAGTAGATTTAGCTAAAATCTCTCTAACAAATCCTGTATGTACAGAAGTGGGAGAGAAAATAGCATTAAGTAGAAGAGTTGAGAAACATTGGAGGTAAGCTTCCTACATAAATAGACCTTGGAACATCATTCTTAACATAGTGCTGCAACTAAATATTTCAAATTATTTGCGAGTGTTTCGTTAAATAATATTTATTATTACTTGTATATGTTCAAAAAGCCTTAATTTGGTATTTTTTGTATGTATTGTTTTGTATGTTTGTATTTGAATGTTTATGAGTGATAAAATATTTTAAGTATAAAAACACTATTCTGCTTGCTAGAGCAAAGATAATGCAATAGCTCCCATTATTTCTGTGTCTGACATTCATGTTGCAAGTCTGTAATTTGCTCTTTCACAGTAGCGTATGATTGAGCTTGACAAACTGTGACATATGGTGACAAGATTGGCAATGCATGGGTTTCATTTTGAAGTGTGTTGAACTGAACAGTATCATGAAACAAGTGAAGTGTGTGTATATACTTAGGCAAACTGTGTTGGAGATACCAAGTAATGACATGTGTAATAGTCACAAACATCAACACGTTCTGCTCTGACGAGTAGCAAATCACTGCACATTGTGTGCTTTCATTATTTATTATAGAAACTTTTACAGAAATAAAACATCAAAGAACTACTACATAATCTAAATAAGTTTTAAATTAAAATTTGAAGTAATCATAAAGTAATAGTTTTCATTAAAGTTGCCAAACTTTATAGAAAATACTTTACAATGCAAAATCTCGAGAACATTTCGTTTAATTCTTGGATTGGTTTTCACTGCAATAAAATCCCCCACAATGTATACATTTTCTTCATTTTTGGCTCAAATATGGTTTCAACAAACTTAAATTTAAGATTATCGCCAATTAGGCAATCCTGTGTTTAAATTAAATTGTAGAGAATAATTCATTAAATGTAAATTTCCTCAATTTCATCCCCCTAATAATTTAATTGCAATGAATCTTTGAAAATATCATAGTTAATATTCTGTCTCTCTCTTCCTCTTTGTTATTATAATCTGTATACTACATTTGTTTCGCTTACATTTTTCAGGTTGATTGGCTGGGGTCAAATTCGTGGTGGTGAGACTATTGAACCCATTATAGAAAATACAGGCAGAGGTTAAATTCTATATCGGTGTTTCTGGTTGATTGAATATATGCATTGGTTAACAGTGGAAGGAACAAGAATGTAATACGGATTTTAAACACTTGTTTTCTATTTGTGTATATGAATATCCACTTGATCAATAAAGATCTGGAACAATTTTTTTTTTTGAATTTATTTAACTATTTTTCGACTGTCTTATCTATCCTAATAAAAGCGAATTCAACAACATGTAACTGGCATTAATGCCCCAAAATGTATTGTATGAATAGAAACAAAATTTTTACAGGCTCTTCATCTTTGTTGCATTGTGCTTGCAAAGTTTGGTAAAGATGAGTATGACACAAATGTGGAAAGCAAATAATTTAAATATGTTGGTAGATGCACCACCATTATTTCGCGCCTGATGCACTGTGATTCCTTGTATGACGCCTGAGGCTAGTAGCAGTGCAGCAGAACTGGTATCTAATAGGTTTGCTAGAGGCCAGTATTAGTGTGTAATTTTAAAATTTTTATGCAATAGCGATGTGTACTGTTAAAGAAAATTATAGTATTTTTATTACACTTAGAACCAATTACATTATAAATTATAATTTCAAACACCATATAATTTATCTTTTTTCTCTTTCACTGAGATTGGCTATGAAAAATATCCAAGCAGCACCAGATATTTTTCTAGCGTCAAATCCATTCCAAGTAGTAATAATAATAAAGGCTTTGTGGAATGTGTATTCTATTTGTGTACTAGCAGGTAAATAAGAATGATCTTAATGCAGAATTGTGTCTACAAATTGTCAAGTATTTACTCACACGGTAACGTTCGGTGCATCATTCACCCCTTTTTATTTCTGTGAAACGTGTTGAACCAATAGTGCTTGTTGCAACGTGCTAGAGGAACTTGATGTCCAGTGGAAATCAAAGCCAGAAACACATACACAGGTGTATAATATACCTCACTCGGTCATGACGCATAAAATTAAGTAATGAATCAATGTAGACTTTTATTTAACTTTTAATTCATTCGAACATTACATTACATTTTTATTATATTTTCGTCTCTTGTAAATTACATTTCCGTCACTGGATGGAGGTGCAACCTCCAGTCTGTTGGGGTACCAGCCGCCCCTACTCCAGAGGCAACGCGACAAAGGCGGTGGCGCAAGTGCCCTGCACGTGGTCAAGGGTTATAAGATGTGAGAGAAGGTGCGTGCGAAAACACACTATGCCTCCTAAATCTGGGCCATATAAGTCTTGCAATAAGTTTGATTGTTCTTGCACATTGCTTGCATTTAAATTTCTAAAATCATGGAAAACTTTCCACTGATCTTATAAGCTTTGTTTCTTCGGGTTAATTCACAAACTATATTACTTAAAGTAATAGAAGTTGACAGTGATCATGGCCAGTTAAGGAAAGTCGTAAATTCGATATTCCTCTTGCAGTCTGAAAAAATAGTACTGTATGTTTTTTATAATTTTTACTTTTTCTACTCGATACCTTAAGATGAAGAAAAAAAGGCCTACAGTTATGTTTAAAAAATTGCCTATATGTAAATTCTACTTAAGATATTTAAGCATCGGTGCAACACTGATATTTTTTATCATCTTCGCGACTTGCTGCCACGTTAACATTTACGAGTTTTGTGAAAGGAAAGGCAATGTAAAAACAAAATAGTTAGTTAATCTGCGGTTCAGATCCCATATTTTTCGAATGAATTATAGTTAATTTTTTTTTCTAAATGTATCTAGTGTTTGCTGCAGACTATGACCATAATTTCTCTTCTCTGTATTCCTCTTTTTTTTTTACGTGATCTCGCATACCTTCATAATCCTGTTCACAATTTACAAAAACCTGAGTTACACTACCAATTGACATTTAACAATTTTATAACAGAAAATAATGGCACGTATTTACAAAAAGCTCAAAATGATTAAGAAAAACAATATTTTGGCAACCATTTTAATATAACCATCTACAATGCTTGGAAACAATTTAAGGTAAGCATGACAATGTAGAACTACAAGACATCTTACAATCACAATAGAGCCTTAGATCCTACTTCAGAAGTTTTTATTGATACTTCGTTAGTACACTATACACACAATTCATATACAATAAATTTCTAGTTCAAGCAGCTGATTGTATCAAGTCTGTGTATTTCTTGATTTTGCTTGAAATGCTCATATCTACATACTTATCACCAATAGTGACCACCATTCCACCAATTATTGATGGGTCGACTTTAGTAGTAAGCAATAATGTTTCTCCCTTCTTCAAAAAAGACTTCAAAGCACCTTCAAGTTCACTCTTTGTGGCATCATCCAGTGGCTGAAAAATAAAATGTTTCTGCTGTCAACAGCAAATATAACAAACTTTGAAACAGAAATATGAATTTTTGCTGCTGCTTCACAGAAATTCTACTGTTATATAAACAAAAAACCCCTTTGTTTTGAAGAGGGCAACTGAGGTCGTCTTGTGGATGAGAATGTTATAACAAGGGGGAGGGGGGAGATTCTGAGAACCTGAAATGTCCCGAAAAATGATCAATAAAATACTCTTAAAAAGGTTTTAAAAATGCCCAAAAAGCAAAGAAGAATTAAAAATTGATGAAAATCAATTCATGTGAACAACTCAAGCAATTTGATGTTACTGAGGCTTCTTCCTCCCATTCAAGTGAACTCAGCTTGCACCTCCTTTGGCTTGGACTGTTCTTTGCCAGGAACTGTCTTGGGTAATGGCACCGACAGTCATCATTAAAATCCACCCCTTGTTAAAACTTAGGCCTGTTGTTTCTCTATGGCCCTCTTCCCATACTGCGATGTCCTGACAGGCTCTATGACTAAAGTTGCACTTGACTTTATGTTTACTTACAAAGAATTTTTAATTTATTCTAAATGGAGAACGAAATGATTATTTGTCGAGTACATTGATATTTACGACATAAAGAATTATTATATTGAACGACTATCATTAGTCTAAAAAATCTGATAAAAGCTTTTAAAATATGTATTTTTGGTTTCACGGACTGAGCTGAAACCTCATGAACTGACACCCTCATACATACACTGCTGATCTTGCAATAACTAAATATAAAATATTAATTATTTAAAATTAATTGACACTATTTCTTTATTATTTATCAACAATTACTATAAAATTTGAATTATTAATAAGTTATTTATTATATGATAAAATCTACATTGAAAACTATCTAAACTTTTCCCATGAAAGAAATAATTTTCTTCACTAGGGAATAGGGACTGAGAGAACAAATTACCTGTAACAAATTCAATAATTTTTTTGAATGTTTGCCAGACAATCTGATTGAATTCAAATCATTTATATTTTATCTATTACTACACATTTCAATAGAACTATGTTCGATTTCATATAAGAGTTTCCAAGTGCAGTATGCTCCTGGAATCTGTCTCTCAGTGGAACAAAGCAATGTACTACTGTGTTTCAATGGCAAAATGTCTTTCACAGTGAACTATCGACCTTACCCCCTGCTTTTCTGAACCAGGAGCAGATGCTTGTGAAGTAGAAGTAATCACTACCATGCGCTGGCTAATGATTCATATCCTATATATAACCCAATTGAAATCTGACAAATCTGTGGCGATTTTTTGTACCACTTATTGTCCTTTCTGCATGAAATGTGTGTGGGGAGTGGAACTCTCAACTTGTCACAGGCTATGCTGTAGGGTATGTACTACTAATATAACCTAAGAAACTCATATTGTGGGGTGCAGATTGGTGTGCAATTACTACTGTACATTTAGAAGATCAATTCAGCCTCTACAAATCCATTTGAATATCTGACCAGCAGCATTTTAAACTAAAAAAATGCTTGTATTGAGCAATTCTAAACACTTATCATGATTGTATATTTAACATAGTTTGTGTATCTATTATAATCATTCCTTACCCTACTGATCACTCTTACCTTGGCTGTTGTGACTTCACAAGGAACTTCTCCACGATATGCAGCCATTATAGTTCTGAATGCATTAATAACACCTTCAAGGGACTTCAGACGACCATTCTCAGCCAGAAGACCTATTAATGTAATATTACATACACAATTCTAAAAATGTCAAGCAAGGAAAGATTGAAATTGGCATTTCATCCCTTCCTGCCTGATAGGAAGACAACAAATTTTATATTACAATTATCGGTTGACCTTGGGTTTACAGTGCCATTCATTAATTTGATTTACCTAACGGGATCGGATTCATTTAAAAGCTGCGCTGTTATAATCTTTCATCACAAGAAGCTGTAAATCAATGAAAAATGAATTACAAATTTAATCATTTTCTCTGGTTCTCTTTGCATGTGTCAAGTGAGAATTTTTTTATTTGCACTTCTTGCATTGTTTGGTGTGAATTTTTGACTGATCGCTTAAATGCAAAGATGTGCTTCTAGACATTTCGACATTCATCATCCTGGGATTCACAGTGATCTTAGACAGTTCAAGTCTCATATTTGCATAGAAGACAAAAGTTAACATCATCCCAGCATCAACAAAGCTGGAACGAGTGCTCACACCAACAGTATCAAAGGTATGTAGAGTGCAATTAAAAGAAGCCTCCCTAAGCACCAGTGCAAGGAGCAAATGATATTTGGTGTTGATTACTTTTGAAAAGTGAATTGGTTCTTAAGTAGCTCTGTAACCCCATGATTACCTAAATTTTAATTTGTTAAAAACATACCTAAAAGATTTGATGATGGGGGAGTTAGAGAAAGCTTTGCAGCTATTTGTTTGATTCCTTCAACTTTTACTTGTCTTTTCAGACTGGGATCTTGGATAAATTCACGTAATTTAACATCAGATTTCAGGGTTCCCTGAAATTGTATAATTACATAACATTTTACTTTTTAAAGTGATTACATCAACAAAAAAAGTGTTCGAGAACATACTTGTAATTTCGTAAGTTCCGTTTCAACCGCTTCCAGCTGTTTCTGCTTCGTTGCAGCGGAGAATAGGGCAGTGGCATATCTTCCTTCTAGTCCGAATATCTGAATTGGGGGCTAGAACACGCAGAATCATATAAGCGATATGTATCTACAGCAAACTAACTGCAGTTTTGAGAATTAATGCCTACCTTCACTAGCTGACTGCTTACCGCAGTTGAACTCAAAGACCTGACCTGAAAATCAACAGCAAAACGAGATGAGAGCGAAGGGCAAAAAGGGTAAAATGGAGAAACTATCTCAAGAAGGTATGCACGGGGGTGAGGTTGACTATTCAGAAGAAATATAATCTGTGGCAACAGTTGTTCCCTTCGCTAATTGGAAACTGGAAAATAAAATTGATTTACGAAACTTACGATTATGGAAAGACCTTTAGTTGCCATTTTGCCAAGGCAGGATTCAAGGGGAAGCAAGAAACAGATGAACGAAGGAAAGTAGAAGGATGTTCACGAACAAATCGATAGTGTCGCCACCAGTCGACAATATCGCTAAGGCATAGAAATTGCACATAACCACGGAATCCTCATGGTGTTTCTCGTGTCTACCACTGTGAAGCACTAGCTGTCTACAGAAATGTATAAAAATCGATAGTGGGTCAAAGGAGGTTGTTTGATTTTTTGCGGTAGAAGGACGGGGATGTGGGTGAGTTTCTTGAAGTGAATGAAATTGACTAAAGGTCCAAGTTTACGTAGTTACATTTTAATTAGCCGGACGATTTGTATATCTGATTTTCAATTTTTATGTAAAGTAGCAATATTAAGTTTATTCTTACTTGTTTCGGTAAACTTTTAGCTACATAATGATATTCACAGAATTTAAGAATATTACTAATATATTACTGTTGTTTGGTGTTATATTTTTAAATGCATTTAATTGTGATATACACCAATTACTTTTTTCCCAGCTCTTTCATATAGTGACAGTATTACTGGCTGTCACTATTGTGAAAAGTGGGAGCGGTGTCATTGAAGAAGATGACAATGTGTTACATATTGGTGGAATTTTTCCTATTGGCGGGAAAGGTGGTTGGCAAGGTGGACAGGTAAATTGTAATAAAATAAAAGTTTCATATGTCAGTTTTTCCAATCAGTATTTCTCAATTTTTTTTATTTCATTCTATAATCAGGCTTGTGAGCCAGCTGCTTATTTGGCATTGGAAGATGTGAATGCACGAAAAGACTTGTTACCAGGATTTACCCTCAAATTGCACTGGAATGATAGTGAAGTAAGTAATGTGTATTATTTTAAGATTAATAGATTTTAAATTTAAAATCATCATATATATATATATATATATTGATTACAGTTTGTAATTCTTCCTGATTCTTACTGTGCTGATTTGTGAAAGATCAGTGCACTGATTGTACTGACTGGCTCCCTACAGTTCACAATTTAAGCCCCATGTTTGGGTTTGTAGCAGTTTCTCAATGAAAGAGAACAGTCAGTACATTAAATGTAAACTACCAATAATGTAGGTCTGTGCATAGGCTTCATGCTTTGCACAAAACTTATTGTTCTGACACCTTGCATGAGCTTTGCACTATGCAAGAGAAACTGATTAGTGCGATAAAGACTGCTTTAGCATATAGTTTCACTGGCTGGACTCCAGAATATTGAAATAGTGACCTTAATCTCCATCTCTGAAAAGATACTGATACTTCACAAATAGAAAAGAATGCATTTGTATATGCAGACCCATAGTTGAATTCAATTTTATAAAGTTTTATATTTCATTAAATTTATACTAATTTAAACAAATCCTTCAGTCTCTTGTTCTTTCTCTTATCAGAAGACATCATTTAATCACCAGCAGCCATTTCAACTACACAAATCAATAAAACCTCTTTTTTAATTTTAAATTTAATCTTCTCTTTCTAGCAAAGTTCATATTGTTTGCATTGTGTTTGATATCAGTTAAAGAATCAGTAAAATGCAACCATAACTCTTTCTGTGAAAGCTACTATAATATTACACATTGTGAACTCTTACAAAAAGGATATACCATATTTATATTATAAAGAATACATATGAATTACAGTAGTAGTTATTTATTTACTGTTATTATGAAGGTGAAGCAGTGGGTGAATTCAGGGGGGAGAAAAGTTTGGTCTCAAATGTGATGGTGCAGGAGAGATAATATTCCTAAATCCTATTCAACCCCTTGTCCTGAACAAAACTTTATTTTTAATACATTAAAAATAAAATTGGTTAAGTTTAATGCACACTTACGCAACTTGTTCAGTGGCTATAACCACTGATAGTTGCACTATCTCCTACAATTAGAAGGCAATGTGTGCAAGAATGTATCTCTATCCTGGCAGCAATGAAGGCATATTTTAGACAAGGGGAACAGGGTCTTAAAACTGCAATGTAACATGGTGAAAACCATTATGGTTATGTGCTCTGCTGCATCACCTTCTTACAAGAACTAAAACACGAACTGCTGCTAACGATACTTTAAATGTGCGTGGCTGTTGCATGAATTCGGAAATTCTTCAGAGGTTTCTTATAAGTATAGATTATGAATACTTGAACATTTAGAAGACTTTTTTCGTATTTCTCATATATTAGCCAATTTGTATGTGGGAAAGTTGGCGAGACTAACCTGTAGCTGCACCCGGTGACACTAGTGTGTCCTATAATAGCTTCCTCCAGCTTTGTCCCCAGTTTTGATGGAGAGTTGCAAGGCCCTGGTGATTAAAGTCATTCTTTAATCATGATTAAAGTAAACAAAGAGGTAGTAATGTAATATCTTAATTTTTTCATAAATATAGTAAATGAAATTGTATACAAAAATATTAAAGTTTGTCTTTATGTTAGATTTTAAATGTTTATTAACTTGACTTCAAGCTGTTTTGCTCTGGATTAATAATAATTTCACTTTACAAAATAATTCTTGCATTAAGGATATTGGAGTATTATAGAAATACATGGAGATATTGTAGAGATAAATTGGAATGACAAAATTAGTACATAAAAGGTTGATCTTCAATTTCATTTTATTTTATTGCTACCTATTTATGCAAATTTAATGCATTTAAAGAATTTTGTAAACAAAATGTCTGGTCTGTTTCAAATTCTTATGTTGTATTCAGCCTCTTAATTGTTTCTTTGTTAATTTTTTGTTTAGATTCCAAAGCAATTTACTGATGTGGTTAACTTCTTTTGAATGCTGCAAAATTAGTTATCTTTATTTACATTGTTTGAGACGTGTGTTGTTAATATGTATGGTGTAATCTTTAATCTTATCTGTATAAAGGGAGGTTTTGAACATTTCACTTCGTGTACCCATTTATTACTAGCGAGTTAAAGCTGATTCAGAAGAGTGATGTGAATTAATTATGGTAGTAAAAAATAATTATAAGACAATACACATATAAATTTAATTTAATTGTCATTCCATATTTTATTTATATTAAGCTCTCCTGCACTTCTCTTGAGATAGCTGCTTTCTCCTTGTATATTCTCTGATAAAAATTCTTGTAGCTTAGTAGTGCGAGTTCATTAGAAAATAAAAGAAATGTTCTGCAATTTGTTAAAACTATCTCTTCAAACTATTTTAATCAGTGGAAAACCAATAATATGGCTTCGGGAAACATTATGCAACAAATGTTGTTCACTTTCTTCATGAACATTTCAGAAAATTTTTTATTATTAACAGTGTGAACCTGGTCTTGGCGCATCTGTAATGTACAACCTTCTCTACAACAAGCCACAGAAGCTCATGCTGTTGGCAGGATGTAGTACAGTGTGCACGACAGTGGCGGAAGCTGCCAAGATGTGGAATTTGGTAGTTCTGTGTTACGGTGCTAGTTCACCTGCACTGTCTGACAGGACCAGATTTCCAACCTTATTTCGCACACATCCTTCTGCCACTGTACATAATCCAACACGCATCAAACTTATGGAAAAATTTGGTTGGTCACGAGTAGCTATTCTTCAGCAGGCCGAAGAAGTTTTTATATCTGTAAGTATATACTTGTTAACATTGGTTACCCTAGTGTTGTTGATATTATTATTATTATTATTATTATTATTGTTATTATTGTTATTATTATTATTGTTATTATTATCATTATTGTTATTATTATTATTATTATTGTTATTGTTATTATTATTATTATTATTATTATTATTATTATTATTATTATTAATCCTCTAATTCATGACTAAAAGTGCTTTGAGTTGGTTTATTATAAAATTTACTTCAGATTGCAACCAGATTCCTAAGTAGCAGGTCTAGGGATTGTTGGTGTCTCTAGAATACTTGACACACGAGCTGTTCCCAATATAGCAATATCTTACTTTTCCGCATCTTGTAAATGACTTGGAAGTTTAGACTTTTTTTGACAAATTTTAAGAAACAAACCCCAGAGCTCCTATAACTATTGGGACGATCTGTGCTATTACTTCCCATATTTGGCTGATCGCGATTTCTAAACTCTTGTATTTAAGATGTTTCTTTGCCTCTTATGTTACAATATTTTAATTGCATGATATAGCAATATCGACAAGTAAACATGTTTTTATCTCTAAATCCCAGAAAACAATATCCAGTTTATTTGCTGCTATCATGCAATCAGTTTGAATTTGTTAGTCATGTTGGAATATTGTACTCAGATGTCAGTATGTCAACTGGTCCGCCCGCCTTTCGCTCCGTCCGTCTTTCAAAACCACTAGCGCCTAAACCACACGTAGGATTTTTCCAAAATGGATATTCCATGACTTCACTCCGACGATTTTGACGGCGAAATGAGATGCTGCGATTTTGAAAAACTTTCTCCAAAATTTGGGGGTACATGAAGTCTCCTGGCTTAGTCGGAGACAGTTTCTGAGCTCCGCTATTTCGTCGGTCTACAGTTGGCTGGAGTCCTTCTGTTTTTTATCCTTTTTTGGGTATTACTGCATCGCAAGCTTCTTCTGTGAGTTGCATTGTAAGTTCTACTCGTTTCTCTGCACTATACGTATTTTCGCGCTGTCGGCATTTGGCAGTAATTTTATCCACGCCATTGGTCCCCGCCTCCACAAAAATGTCGATGTTTAGTTTTGCGGCTTTCCACCGTGCTGACCTGGTGCCGACTGGGGTATGGTAGCTATCAGGAGTTTGGTTGAGGTCATGGAACTCGATGTATTGATAATTGCTCGAGTATTCCACCAAAACCTGCCAGTTTTCAATGCGCGCTTCTATTCTTTCAGTGGCAAATGTCACGTCCGGTATCGTTTCCTTGTACCCGGGGCGTCTAAAGGCTGTTGTATTGACGGTATTGAGAACAAGTGGACATATTCTCGCTGCCATTTCCATTATTCGTCGACTTGGGTTGCAGTATTCCCCATTCTTCTCCTTTCGCGTTGAAATCACCCGCAACGTGTTCACAATACATGCTTCTGTGCTATGTTTTCTAACTTCTTGAATTTTTCTACGTTTTCGTTCGGTGTGAAGTAGCAGATCTAACGTGATCTCGGCTATTCGCATCCAAACAAAAACTCTCCACCATGTATTTGTATCCTACGAGTACTCGTGTGTGGTATCCAAATCTCTGACGTGCCTGTTTCATCACTAAGCCAGCCAGAAAGACTATTAGTGTCTGTTGTCTAAGTATTAGGACATATGCGGCTAACTCGTTTCGGTTTTGTCTTAGGAGGTCGTTAGCCGTCCGAGTCCTGTTCATGAGTATTTGTACATACTACATTATCGTTTGTTTTAAAAATAAGAATTGGAATGAACGTTTGTCATTTTATTTTTCAGACCGTGGAAGACTTAGAAGCTCGGTGTAAAGAAAGTAATATTGAAATTGTGACTCGACAAAGTTTTTTGAGTGATCCCGCAGATGCTGTTCGAAATCTACGCCGGCAAGATGCCCGTATAATTGTGGGTCTCTTTTATGTTGTAGCAGCCCGCAGAGTGTTATGTGAAATGTATAAGCAAAATATTTATGGCAAATCGTATGTATGGTTCTTTATAGGTAAGTAACACTTCCTTGATTATATTCCCTTACATTACACCCCTTTTCTTATGTTTGTTGATGCAAATAAGTTTTCTATTGTTTTAAAGCAAAATTTTCTATTAATTATTTATTACAAGGAATATCCCTTTTCTTTTCTAACAATCAATGAAGATTTTTTCAAAAAAGTTTTTATGTAAATATTGTGGCAGCGAAATATTGTTTAAAGCGGCCCCACACATGCGGTATTCGGCGATTCCCGAGCAACCGCTCTCCGAATCCCGAGTAGTGTGGACGGGGTGCTTGCGATTCGCCGAGCGCCGAACATTCGGTATTCGCCCTACCTACCGCGTGTCGGTCTTTAGGACACATCACAAGGAGCGAACATTCTCCGAGCACATTTCTGCTCGACATTGGGCGAACTGTCGCTCGCAACTTGGCGAATGACGAATGTGTGTAGCCGCTTTTAGATGATTAGGAGAGCATTTGCAGAAACTTATGTCGAGAACTTCTGTGCATCGCCTTTCTGTGTTTTCGTCAGGCAAGAAAGTTCTGAAAAGATGACACGCCATTGACAATATTAATACCTTGCTGTAAGAATAATTAAGTATTAAATAGATTGTTATGGTTACCTTTGTCTAGACAATCATAACGTGCTCCTTACGTTTTTCGTGCTTTGTGCTTGTGCGCTCTCGTTTTTGTCGCGTTTCGAAGCACTGGTCCACGGAGACTACATGGCAATGTTTGCCAACGTAGTGTAACGTTTCTAGGTGGAGAATTAAAACACACGCAGAAGTAATATTTAAACAAAGTTTATTTGTAACCATACATTAAAAACTACTTGGTCTGTTTACAAATGTTTTTCCCTTTATTATTTTCCTTACAAACACGACCCCGTTCTCTTGATTATTTTTTTACACAGTTCTCTGCAATCTGATTATTTATCTACTGTAATCACTTCTTCTACAGTATCACAGTCTGCTGCACTGTCCACGGTCCAATGCGCTGACCCCAATTCCCTGCGCAGACCACACTTCACTGCGCACATCAGGGTCCACTGCATTGATCTTTACCGCGATGACACTTCACAGCTCGGCTTCCACTGCACACTTGAATCTGCTGACTGCTGTTCACCCACTGCACCACTGTTCACAGCAATGCACACTTTACAGCACAGCTTCCACTTCAGACACACTGACGGACTGACTGCTTATTCACTGATAACATACACTGATTCGCGGCTGCTTACTTCCGGCTACTACTGACACTGACATACACCGACTAACTTACACTGTCTGACTACTGGCTAACTTCTTGCTGACACAAACTCACGGCCGCCGGCAGCGGCGCATTTATACCTGGCCGTCGTTCGTCTCGACACACCCGGCACTTGTTCATCCTTTCCGCGCGACCCGCGAATAGCCTGGAACCGTCCAGTTCGGGGGGAAGTGGAGGCGCCGGCAGACGCAATCCGCGCAGCGAATCCGGGCAGATGATGCAATATTTGTTATATATTCTAGCCAACCCACCTACACCACACAACTTGTTACCTTCACAGTAGCACGCATGAACCGTAAGCGGGTTACCAAGATGTTGCTCGTGAAGCGAGCTTTAAAAATCTAGGGAGCAGGATCTCCAGGGTGCGAGAAAGGTTTGAACCCTTGACACAATAAAATCACACAAATTGCACACAAACGAGGCGTATAATTTATCCATAACTTTTCGTGCGATAGTGATGACAAAAACCAAGAAATATAGAATCAACACATTTACAAAGAATAATCAAAACACAAATAGAAACCTTTTACACACATCATATGAATGAACACATATAATTTACTTACAAAATTGATACTCCTGAAATAATTACCCTCTCAACTACACTGGGAATTCCCTTGAAAATTAATTATATCTAAATTTGTGCTATTTCTAATACATTGCATGTGAAACCAAAATTCAATTACAGTCTCCTGCTTCAAAATTTTACATTGTAAAGAACAAAATGTGTGCAAGTTGCACTATTCTCATTTTACCAATTTAACTGTGTCTGAAAATAGCAGAATAATAAATGTCCTAAGTAGAATGTTTTTAGGCAGGCATAGCGCATCAAATGTCTTCCTACTATAAATACTGGCAATTTGTTGGCCACCCGTGTTCTCAATTCTTAACACTTCCTTAATACTAGTTTTTCTCTGCCGCGTGTGAACTTGACCCTATTCCGCGCTCTAACTGTTTACCTCGTGGACTTCCCACTTTTGGCCTTGATGGTCGTGCGCTGGTCGCTGGCCCTCGACGCCGCTTCCGGTCCCAGCTTCTGCGTCGTTAAGAAACGGGATTCGCCTATCCCGTCTGCGTTGCCTTCTGCGTCCCCTTCTCTTCCTCCCAACAGTTCCGTCTTCTTCTCGTGCGCCAGGGTCCGTCCGTTATCTTCCACTTCGTCTGCTACCGACGCCCTCTGACTACGCCCACGTTAGCGAAAAATGTCCCTTGCACTTTACCGATACTCGTGAAGTTCCTCGCTCGTTGCTACTTTACTTTGCTAAGCAGAACTTTTAATGTTTCTTCACAACGGGTAACTTTTACTTCCCGTGTTGTTAATTGAAAAACACTACTTAATCTACGGACGACTAACTAGAACGTCTGTTCGACGCCGAAATACTCCTACCTAGTAGTCGTTGCAGCGGCAAACAATATCTAACTAATGTTTAACGAAAGTGTTGACTCGAACTATCGTGGTAACGAGCTTACTCGACGCGTGATGACAAGAAAAAGAGAGCCTCCGCTTGCGGGTTCGCGTATTTATCGCGCGGCGTCTGGGGAAATTTCAGTGGTGGGGCTGCTTCCCTCTCTTCAACCCTTCACAAGAAAACATAGCTCGCTAGTTCGCATTCGTTTAGTACGGGCACGGATACCAGGCGCGCGTTTTAGTACCTCTGCCTTACGCGTCTGTTATCCGCTGCCTCCCCGTAGCGTTTCACACATGAGGACGGTTGGTGTTATGGGGTTGCACAATCCGTAACGCCACTAATTATATATATATATATATATATATATATAATATATATATATATATAATATATATATATATATATATACACATACACACACACACACATACATATACATACAAACAAACAAACAAACAAACCTAATCTTCGCTAGTTGTGCGAACGGATCATGCATAACGGTGGGAAGTTCTCCTCACGAAGTAAATTAAAATTCCAGGTGGCAATGTTAGTTGGTAGCGTGAGTTGTTCAATTATACATTATTATTCACTGATTTTATAAATTACACTAATCAAAATTACGCTATCCATAGTCACTGATTTTCTACATTACACTAGACTAAATGTGTTTCCATTCTTCTTGTTGTAATACAGTTATCAAATAATCTACAGGAATGTTCTTTGTAGTAGTGCCTGCAATATGTTCATCATAATGGTTCTGAAGTGTTGACTCATAACTTGAAATCGTTGGACTTGTAGATACTATGTAATACTGTAAGAGTTGAAATTACTCATGTTTGAATATAGATTTGATTCTGCATCTAATGTTTGTGCATTTTGTTACACGAACAAAATATGTTAAGATTTGTTTTAAAATGACATATATGCTCAATAGGTTGGTATGAAGATAATTGGTTTGAAGTTAATCTGCAAAAAGAGAAAATTGAATGCTCCAAGGAAGAAATGCGCATGGCTGCTGAGGGTCACTTGACAACTGAAGCCCTAATGTGGAATCAGAATAATCAGCGTACTATATCTGGAATGGTAAGGAAGAGTGAATTTTAGATAATGAATTTGAAATTTAGTGGTCAAATGGTCAGTATTTCATTCTATAAAAGTTGAGAGAGTTATTGGAAATCATTTTCAATTTAAAAATATTGAGTTCTCGTGAATTTCCCCATTTAGTTGAGGTTCTCATACAACTTACTCTTTGATTTATAAATCTTTAATCATAAAGATATTCCAAAATTTTCAGACATCAGAAGACTTTCGTTTGAGGTTGAATGATGCCCTTAGCAAAGGATACGATATTCAGAATAAACGCTACCCGGAAGGCTATCAGGAAGCTCCTCTTGCCTATGATGCAGTTTGGGCTGTTGCCCTTGGTAAGTGGTTATTGTGTTATTATGAAATGGCAGAAACATTCTAAATGACAAATTGATAATAAAAATATGGTTGGCCAAAATGTATAGTATTTTTTGTAGCAAGGGAAGGAAACTTGAGGAATGAGAATTTGAGGCAGAACAGATCAGAACACTGGAGAGAACAGAAACTGTTTTATATAGCTAAAGTGTAACAGAGGTTTTTGATGAGTTAGAGATGAAAAGAAACAATATTTGTTGTTGAAGTCTAGTAATAGGTAGAGTGAAGACACTGTTAAAATATTCCGAGTGAATAGGGATAAAGAATAGTAAATCAATGTCATGGTGGGTAGCATTAAATCTGGTAGTGCTACAACATGTATGTTTCCTTTCTCATCTCACTAAATGTTACGTAAAATTTTAATACCACAATTTCAGTCCATATTAAGTTGTCAGTAGCGTAAAAAACTGAGTGCGGGCCCGTCTGCAAAACTTTTATCCGACCCCCATTATCAAAAAGTATAGCAAACCCAAGTAGTGTTTGCACCTTAAATAATAAAAATATCCTTTAACAAATTTGAATGCATCAGTCTGATTAATAAGCAGTAGTCAAAAAAATCAGCCTATATTATTTAATTTTATGAAATTACGAGTGTTGTGAAACCCAAATGATATATTAACGTTTATTGATTTAGAAACGGTTACATAAGCTACCGAAACAGAAAAAAATCGTTCTGAAAGATGCTATTTTTCATATTTTATTCGGTCATCTATCGCAAACTATCAGACAATGTACTAAGAAAACATTTCTTACCGCTTCCGCCGGTATCCGCTTTTAAACAGGTGCGTATCGCACCAGCTGAATCGCGTGCCTTCTAGCTGAGGCGTGGGAGCGATCCTTAAAAAGAAGGCGGAATATTCTATTGGAGTCTTATGGTGCTAAGGTGTCAGGTCTCTTTAACCATCCTTGTTGCCGAATTTTTCCATCCTGAGTAGCAGACCTCATATAATTTTCGAACATTGCTACTTCAGTCCCAGGTATTCGATTGCAAAATCTTTTGCGGAACCTTCATTTCGGACTTCTTTCCCTATGAAACTCCCTAGAAAATCATCCCACCTGGGAAACCCCTCCGCCCCAGTATTGAGCTCAGACTTCGATCTTCGTAAACAAACCACTAGTCTTCTTGTTTGCTTGCAGATGCAGTTTCAGAAAATGAGGGAAACCTGTATAGATCTTGTACACAGATGGTTCATCGTGCAATGACGCAGCTGAATGTAGCTTTTACTGTGTCAGGATGACCAAAGTCATATCGATTCCATTTCCAGTGCCGTGCTTTCACTGTAGCAATGTATGCAATTATCGAAGCTCCGAAGTACGAGGAGTCAGCGACACTGCAGCGAGTAGTTCTCTGTTCTGATTCTCTGAGCTCACTTCAAGCTGTCTCCCGTTCTTCCTCAGACTTCCCGACGAAATCAGTTCAAACAAGGATTCATCGTTTCTTGCCTCGCCATTATGATCTGGTACCCAAGTTGGGTTCCAGGCCATGTGGGAATCCCATGGAATGAGTTGTCTGACCAGTCGGCGAAATCAGCGATGTGGAAGACTCGTATTGACATTCCTTCTGTACCATCGTCCGATGTTAAGGCTTGCTTGAAACGATTTATCTTTAGAGCGTGGCCAACAGGGGCAAAACACCTAGTGTGATAAAGGATTCTGTTAACCCTGGCATTCCTCATTCCGACCATCGAGGCGTGAGGGTGTCATTTTCATCCACCTTCGAATCGGTCTCTGCCACAGGACGGTTCATGCCGTGGAACACATCCTGCTGCATTGTACGAAATTCGATGGCAGTCAACGAAGATGTGGCCTGGGCAACTCCTTATGGGAGGTGCTCGGCGATGACGATTCCGCGCTCCCAAAGGTTTTTTATTTTTGGTTTTTTGAGAAAGCTGATTTTATAATTTTATTTGAGAGATAAGGACAAGTGTGTGTTTCTTGATCCCTTAACACTCAGCGCTACGTTTATTATAAATATGTTTGTTCCTATTATAAATGTTTGTTCCTGACATTTTGTAGTGAACTTTTATATTTTATGCGGAATTGAGCCTTTTTTAAGCAATGTACACACTTTTAGCCAGCTGGTAAGTTGCTTTTGCAACATTAGGGTGACTACTTTCTGGAAAATACAAGGAAAACCGGGAATTTCAATTTCAGAAAAAATACAGGGTAAAGAAGTTATTACATTCAAAAATTGATTGTCGACGTAGAATTCGAGCTAACAATTATTTCCAATAGACGGAATTAATAATTTATGATAAAATTATTTATAAAAAATTTTATTATTTATAAGAATCATTTTTAAATAACTATTTTAAATTAAGTCATTTTAAGTCGTAAACTAACAAATTACACGATACTCTATAAAACAGTCTAATGCACGGATGTCCAACTGCCGACCCGCAGTGCCATTTATTGTAACCCGTGAAAGGTAATTAGTGGAGAGCATTCTTACCGTGCGAGAACATTGTGCGCCAAGCGCTCGCGCCCTACTGGGGTCAAAACCCCTGCAATGTAAAAATAGGTAAAGCTTAGATTTAGTACGGATTTTGTTCTAGTAAATCCAGAAATTTAAAATCATCAAAGTGTTTCCCTCCGTTATGCATAGTAAGGCCTGTTGTCCCGCATGGACCCACTCCCAATCCCAGTTGCAGAGCAGCCTGGTAAACTGCCCAAATCAACATTATGGGGAAGCCACGCGTGGGTTGCCCGAGTAATGAAAGTATGGCCCGCAATAATGTTAAAGGTTTTAGTTGTGGCCCTTGAGGCCTTTCAAGTTGGACACTCCTGGTCTAATGTATTTGAAAATTCACGCTTGGTATAAACTATAACATCGCGGTGGGTAGGGCGAATACCGAATATTCGGCGAATCGCAAGCAACCCGTCCATACTACTCGGGAGTCGGCGAGAGGTTGCTCGGGATTCGCAGAATGCCGCATATGTGGAGCCGCCTTAAGAGGAAAAGGCAGCCAATGATTTTAAATTTGTTTCATTGTGTTCATGAAATTTGTGCCCGCGTCGTTTATTATAGGATCTACGCATGCGCAAATTCAGACTACAACTGACATTCGATAATATAACCTTAAACTGCAGGTGGAGAAAAAATGCTATCATAGTCAATCGAGACTTGAGTTGCTGTGCTCGCGGGGCTAGAGCTAAGCAGAAAACGGCTATTAAAGAACGAAAGCGACTGCAAACTGAATTAGAGACACGGAGTCGGTATGAGAGGAGAATAAGAGAAATGCAGCGGAATTGATAGCTTTGAATAAAGAAACAAGTGGTGTTACAGAATGACACAGACTTTCTCGTACTTGTTTTTTCTAATTTCTTTTTAACTCGATTATTCACATTCTCTAGCGAGCTGTCATCTGTAGCAACCCAAAGTACACTTTTTTGTAGTTTTCTCAATTTTTCGGTTTCGTAGTAGATCCGAAAGATTACTTTAAAAATATTATAGAAGAGAAGAGCCGTTTATAAGAAAATAGCATTTAATCGTTACTGTAAATGTAAAACCTGCCCTTTTTCACATAAATATTTTGAATTTTCGAAAAACTTTATTGGAAGTATTTTCAAATCCTTCCACACAACAATGCACTAATGTATACTAACAGTTGGAAATGTGCTTATTAAAGGCGTGAAACTCATTTCAAAAAATTATATTTGTGTATTTTTTTCAAAAACAAATAAATCTAAGAATACAAGAAAATTAATTTTGTATCATCTAAACGGTGCAATTCCCAGTAACCCGCGAAAAGTTTGAAGAAAACATTTGAAATCGTTTTTGAGGAAATGGCGTTTGAGGATTTCTGAAAATGGCTAATTTTGAACTCATTTTAACAGAAAAGGCTTGCGTTTTCGGGAAACTTTATAAGATATCATTCTTATGTACTCGTAAATGCAATGATGTGAAAAATCGTCGCTAATTAGTATTAATAACGTCGAAATCGCCGCTATTAACGACGTGAGACTAGTCATAACAATTATTATTTTGTAATTTTTCAAAAAAGAAATGAATGGAGGAAAATTGTCATCTCATAGAGTTCATTTAACACTATCGCTATGAAAAATGTTAAAAGATTGGAGCTGTTATTTAGAAAATCTTGTTTTGTTATATTTAAAAATTGCACATATTGCAATATTGCGCGAAAACTACCATAATTGTCCAAAAATTTTCTATTTTGTCGTTGTAGGGAGACGCCGAAAAATTAAAACAATTATAGAAAATTGAATGTTAACAGTAAACATTTGGACATATGTTGTCTTTATAACTCTATTTTACTCTATTCTTACAAGAAAGTGAAAGAAAAAACGTGGAATCGTTTTTGAGGAAATTTTTAGAATGTTCCAAGAGTTTCATGTACAGTACCCTCCAAAAGTGAATGTTTTTTTCAAAATAAAAGAGCTTTGACTCAGACCAGATCGGCAGAGTATGAAATTATGATTTCAGTATGAAAGTATGATGTATTCAGTATGAAAATATTTTTAAAAAAATATTTAAAAAAACAAACAACGGAAACATACGCATGGTTTTGGCGCTAGTGTTGTTCACAGACAGACTGACATACCTTTTGCCGTCAATCTATTTTTCGGTATAAAGGGCCTACAAAACATGGATTCTGGCTACGCCACGTGTGAGAGGATTTTTTTACTTTCTCGCTATCAGGTACGCCGTACAGAGAGTCATGTAATGCTGTGCAAAAAATGGCGAATTTTGAACAGAAAAACTTATTACAGGCCCCTGGTAACGAAAAAGTGAATAAATCCAGTTGCCAAATTAAGGGGGGAAATATAACACAGGGGTTGCCAGAATCCCGTTTGAAGGACCTTGATACCGAAAAATCGATTGACGGCGAAACGTCCGTCGGTCTGTCTGTGAACAACGCTAGCGAGCTAAACAGTTCAGCTGATTTTCTTCAAAATATTTATACCCCCATCAATCTGGCCGATGTCGCATCACCTTGAATTC